TCAGGTAGAGCTGATCTTGTGTTCCTGTGTGTTCTCTGTCTTTGGAAGCAGGACAAGACACACAGAAAAATTTCCCAGTATTAACATTAACTCTCTGCAAAGGAATCAGCTGCTTTCCCTTTGCTTTTACTATCACAAAGATCAGTCTCTTCTATCCCTGATCAAAAAGCAGCAACGTTCCATGGCTTCAGTTTTGTCAATTAATTGTCTTGAATTTTTTGTAATTGATGTAAGCTGTTCACAGAAATATTCCCTTCTGTCATGAGATACATGCATGAAGTCTCAAAATCAAAAAGCAAAGAACAACCGTCCAATTGCAACAGCACCCCAGAAAACCAGCAACAGAAGTGTGCCAATTTGGCAGAGAGCATTTTTTTTACTTTCATATAGAAATCTGAAGCACTGATTTAGAACAAACCTACATACAAACAAACAAACAAAACCCCTCAACATTCTCCTGTTGTCACATCTGATTTTGAGATAGCTTGTTTGGCAGTTCCTTTCTGCTGCCCATGAGAACACTGGAGTGTTTCTAAAGGTCTTTTGGTAGAGAATGCCCTTTTCCTGTGGACAGATCAGAGATGTAGTGATGGTGATGGAACTTCAGTCTTCTTTCATGAGGATTGATACAGCAAGACCTTGGCTGTGATCCCTTCCAGCTCCATACTCAGGATTTGTTCTTAGTTAGGAGATCATTGCTTTCCATGTGGGATTGTAGTGGTTTAAAATAGGCCTTTAGCAAGGACTTGCTCAGGAATTGTTTCTCTGTGTTGTTAAAGATGATACAAACTTTCAGACAGAATTAATGCAGGAGGCATTCACTGCAACATTTAGATAGCTGGTTGGTTGTCCTAGAAGGTGTTACCCCTTCTAAGAATATCTCCTTATGGAACATAAGCAGTGGTTTCTGTTGGTATTCAGTAATGGGCAATAAGATTAATGGCTTTCGCTTTGTTTCAGTTAGGCTGAGCATGTTTCTTGCAACTGTATTTTCAAACATTTTTTGCTTCATCATATACTTCTGCCAAAAGGGAATTTTTCCCTCAGTTCTATTTGGCTTTTGAACAGGCTGCTCAGTTTTCAGCAATCTCATCTTGCTTTTTCACACTGGGGTTTTAGATGTGAGAGGTAAGTTGGGCTAAAGTTGGCAAAAAGAGTTCAGAAAAAGCACTCTGTGAAATAATCCTAATGTACCTCTGGGTGCATTTGCAAGATGAAAGTCGTTGCTGATTGGGGAGTATTTGTCACACTGCTGGGAGAGCAACTACATGCCTTTTACTTGAATGATAGTCAATCTAGTACATTTTACAGTTGCTTATACATCGAAGATCTACTGATCTACTACTTAAAGGATTACCCAGCACCTCCTATGAAGATAATTCTGGTTTCTTTCACTGCAGCAATCAAAATCTGTAGCATTTCATGTTTTCCTTGGGAGCTCTTTGTTTCCATGAAAAGCTCCAGAACTGTTGAGACCTCTACCAAGGACTGACAATCAGCTGCTTCCTTCCATGTTTCTAACACACTTCTTGATTTTTCCCAACGTAACATTTTCTTACTAACAGTACATCATCTTTATAGGAGAGGAAAAAAAAAAGTAGTGTGGTGAAGGTGACTCAAACAAATAATTTGTCTTCTATAATATCTTTTTTCCTTCATGATTGATCCCAACTGCCAGAGCTTAGCAGACTTCTATTGACTTTCTCCATCTTTTGGTCCACTTCACAGTGTTTTACCACTGAACTATAGAGATAACTGGAAAACTAAGTATAGAACATAACCCCTGTTCTCATTTCAAGTTTTTTCATCCATCCTGCACCCAGTGCTTTGTTGCAGATCACTTGATTCACCCTCTTTTCTCTCCCTCATTTTGGAGCCCTTTGAGCCCTATTAAAGCAATTGCTTAGAATTGTCATGTAGAGAAATATTCCAGTAGTAGAGTAGAGATACCCAGAAACAGTTGCCCAAGAGTAAAATGGGTGCAGTATGTGAAGTGTTTCCTCTTATGGGGGGAGAAGAGTACACCCTGAATTCCATTGCTGACTGCGTAATTGGGAGTGCTTTGTGCACAGGGTAAAATCTATGCATGTTCAGGAACTCTGTTTTGGGCTTGTACTACGTATGTCTTGTCTTTTCTTGCAAGAAGTCATCTAGGACCCTCATTTCTGTGTCCTTCCTGGGACTGGGATTCAGGCTAGATGCCATCCCCATTGCAGCAGCCCAGTTCCAGATGTGTTCTTTCCTGAAGAGTCTGCAGGAAGAGGGGATAAAGGCTAAAAGGGAGCAACATGGTGGGCAAAGCTTGCAATATGAAAGACTGACTAGATGGATCAAATGAGGCTTAAAATACTGCTGATCACAATTACATGTACAGACCCAATCTGTTATCCTGTTTATTTAATCAAGGTCGCAGAGAGGTTTTAATTACAAAAGCAAGCTGATAGCATGAGCCTGGTCATCTGTAACTGACAAGCGTGTTTAGTTACAATGGACAAAAGCGGTCCTTATTTATGTGCTAGTTGTGCTAAATAACTTGTTTAGATCACTTGCAATAACTTGGCAAAGAGTGATGTTGAAAAGTAGCTTTCTGTCCAGTTGGTGCCAGTAGGAAAGAGCCCATTATGTGCAGTAAGGTGTTATTGAGTCCTGAAAAATTACAGTTACTGCTGCTCATCTTTGCTTCTTCAGTTTGGAAAATGAGAGCAACAGTTTCAACTCCTAATTTTCTAATATCCTGCAATGTCTATTTGTCTGATGTTACTGGAGAGCCAAAAATGAGTGGGTAAAAGAAAATGGAAACCATCATCCCCATCTTGGCAGAGGTGGAGGGGAGGCAGTTTAGATCTGTCCTGAAGTAGACAGTGAAATAATACTGGATGTCGTCTTAATTTAAATTGCTTTGGCAATATTAGTTTCTAAACTTGCTAGACAAGACTTTAATGTCTGGTTAGCAGGACAAACTGTTTTATTAATTAAACTCAGGCCCATAAATCTGTTCTAACTGGCAATCAAATCCCAGAGTAACCTGGATTGTGCTGTTGTTGAAGTATCTACAGCCCAGGAGAGTGATGCTTAATATTTCATTTGTCTTGCTTTCAGCTGTAATGTGACTTGCAAGATGTCGTGTTTGCATTGGGAATAAAAATCAGTGAGTCTATCTTTTAATGGTCTTGTGCCAAGAAACAAGTAATAAACAATTTAAGATTTATAATAATCCTTATAATAATCTGATTTTTAATGAAAATGTATCAACATGCATTTCTTGAAAACAATTTTTTTTTTTTTTTTTTTTTTTTTTTTTAGAAATAACTTTACTGTGTCCAAATATAATCAGCCTGACATTTTGTATTGGGGGACAAAAATCTGCCTGCAGGTAGGGGAACATTGCAGAATAACAGCAGAAACAAACCAACATGTAAAGATTTAGCTCGTGACAGCAGTTTATGTTCTTGTTGGATACCTGTTCCAATTACAGTTCAGACTGGTGCTTTTTTTGGAGGTACAATGCACAGCTGATGCAATTGATCTCAGATGCATAGCTCATTGTGATCAGTTAGCCAGAGGAGGTGAAATCAGGTAATGTTTTAGTTGGTAATTTTGTATAATAGTAGTTTCTGTGCATTTGTTTCTCTTCAGTGAGCAGATGTTAAACTGCAAAACTTCTCCGAAAGGGAAAGTGCTCTGTTCCTCCCATCCCGTGGTGCACCAACTCCTTTCTTCCCCATTCCTGTGGTTCTGCTTTCTTGCTGTTTTCTAGGCTCTGTGAGGAATCAGCTGTGGGGGTTGTGGGGTGTGCAGTAATTCCCATAGGGCTCTAAAATTAATGTAACATTCATATGTTTCTTCTTCTGAGAGAGAAATGTCCTTTTTGTCACCTTGTTTGCACAAGAGAATAGGATCTGTGTCCTCTGAAGACAAACCACATTAGAGTGTGGCAGAGCGAAAGCTAAATGAAATTAATGAATTTGCTTATAATCTTGCACAGTTCAGCTCGGGTTTTCAAAACCACAAAGCATAAGCTATTCATGTGGCTTCCAATGCCATGGTGGTACTTACATCCTGACGGTGCAGGGGGGGGGATCAGTCAGACAGGCAGGCAGAGCCCAGGAGACCAGCAGTGGTTTTTGTCACTGAGATGCTGAGGCGCTGCTGAGATATTGGTACTTGTATTGGTACTTTTCTATCACACAGGTTATATTCAGTGGCTGGGTTCCTCGTGATGCTTCTCAGACATCTAGGCACTCTTCCAAGCCTCAAACAGACTTTACTTGTGTACTTCTGCTCATGAAATTAAGCAAACTTCACAGTCAATCATTGATGCCTTTGTTTTTCTTAGCTCTGAGCTACCAAAGCTCTCAGTCAGTTTTAGTGATGTCTGGAGTGCAGGACCACTGGGAGATCCCCAGTGTTCATAGCTGCAGTACCTTCTCAGACAAATAACCAGTGCTTTCATTACAAATCTATCCTATTTTTCACATTTGTTTGCCTTAATAAGACTATGGAATGAGCAAGTGCTTTGAGTTTTCCACTCATTGCTAGTTGTGTCATTTTAAGCACTACACAGTTATGCTCAATCTGTGTTATTTAAGACTTCTTTTCCTTCTCCTGTGTTATATTCACAGCCGTTATGCATACGAATAAAGGAGGGAATAAGTACAAACCTCCTGATCTTTTAAACGTGTGACTGTTGTGCTTTATATTTTCAGCAGAAGCTGCTTTGTAGGCACTGTATTTTTGAAGTAATGTTTCTGCATTGGTAATGCTACCAGTTGCATTAATACACCAGTACAAGGGGCAGTAACTTCAAAACAAATATAATGCCTTTTTCCTTTGTTTTTCCGTAACAGAAAACAAATTCTCATGAAAGATTTGGTAAATCACAGGAAACGCTCAGTAACTAACGAAAGATTTGGGGGCAGGCTTGCTTTACAGGTACATAGTGGAAATTTCGTTTCGATGAAACGACCTCAGGCCTCTCATGATTTCTTTTTTATCTACAGAACCCCCAACTCCTATTGCCCCTCCTGAACTGCTGGCTGTTGGAGCCACCTACCTGTGGATCAAACCCAACGCCAATTCCATCATCGGAGACGGGCCCATCATACTGAAAGAGGTGGAGTATCGGACAACCACTGGGAACTGGGCAGAAACACACATTGTGGACTCTCCCAATTACAAACTGTGGCATCTGGACCCAGATGTGGAGTATGAGATCAGAGTGCTGCTGACTCGCCCTGGAGAAGGAGGCACAGGGCCACCTGGACCGCCACTCACAACAAGGACAAAATGTGCAGGTAGTGTTTCTGCTGCTTTCCATGGATGTTTTGGGTTGCTTACTGATGCATTAACTCCACCTGTCCTTCTTGTAGATGTGCTTCTTTGGAGATCTGAATTAATTTCATGAATTTTGGTATGTTGTAGGTATATTTTGCCTTTTCATCCATGGGCAAGTGTTTGAGAGTGTTGTTTTTATTCATGCAGTGTGTTTGCTTGTAAGACTTTCTTCTACAGTGTATGTCTGCTTTCTTTTGAAACGGACAGAGCAAACGAGAGCTTTTCAACTGATTCTCCAATAGGCAAATAGATCTCAGGACTTGACTTACCAAATTTTCACTGTGCAGGTTTATAGCAAAACATATGTTCTTGTTAAGTAGCAGCAGGTCAGTGTTGGTTATTCAGTGCAGTAGGGATAAGCAATAAGCACTGAATTGTTAAGATATATTTCTGTATTCTGTTTCATTGTGCTGATTGTTCCCCTCACTTCTGACCAAGAAACCTATTTGAGCGCTCTGCAGTGTCTTCCTTTTGCCTTTCGTATCGGAACAGATCTGTTTTGATCCAAGGATAGGAAAAATCTATCTTCTTTCTAAAGCACGTTTTGGCCTTTTCAGTAATAACTAAAGGATCACATTCCTCATGTTTCAGGTATATTGGATCCCATTTTCATAAATGAATCACTAAGGGAAATCAAGATTAGTGCTCCTCACTCTCACAGCACGTGTATCCCTAGCATCATCCTCTTCCTTTGCCAAGGAAGCCTGGCAGGTTGAGAGTGCAGGGCAGATCTGGGGGCACATCCTTACTGCCTTTGCTTTTTGTGTGACTTATACAGCAGTGGACATCTGGTGTCTCTTTAAGAAGTTTTGACTGGAAAAGAAAAAAGAAGGGAAACCTTAGCATAAGGATTTGGCATTTAGATGTTTGCTATATTCAGCACTTATCCATTGGCAGATGACAGATGTTTGGAGGCTTTTCTTCAGTGGTATGGATGTCCTGCTGGCCCCTTTGGGAAATGGGCATGGCCTCTGCTACCAGCTTTTGGCTGTCCTCATTCACTAGTGTTGTGTTCATGTTGTTGTCAAATTTTCTTACCTTCAGCAGAAATAACCTGGCACTGTGCATTTATATGTGGAATTGTGACATGCTGAGGTTAGGTTTCTTGCTCACACATAGCAGCTTTGCAGGCAAACTTTCTGCAGCAGCCAAACTTGCAAACCTATCTGGTAATGCTTTCTAGGTAATACAGGATTAAAAAAAGTGGTTAACTTTGTGCTTTATGATGGCTTGTAGGGATCCCAAATTTCTTGCTCTGAATATCAACTGATGTCACCAAGAATGATGTAGATAATCTATTAAAATTGGCACCATCCTAGTTTGCTAATGAAAATCTTACTGGAGAAGGTCATTCTGTTAATATACGTTGCAATTTAGAGCTTGTTAAGACTGATGATGATGGCATTTATGTCTTGTTTAGGGCACTGGATGGGGGAACTTGTAGTGATCTTTATCTAAACATGGACACAAAGCAAGGAAGAGACCTCCCCACTGTCTGAAGTTGTACGCCTTCTAGAAAAGGTTAACTGAAATGATAGACAAGAAAATAGATGGTATTTCCCAATTTTCTTATGTGGTGGTAGGACTTCAAAATAACCTATTTCTGGTACAATTACACAAAACTTTCATAGTAAAGGTTTTCAGAAGTGTACTGAATCCAGAAAGCAGCACTACCTCCTTGGTTTTCCTTAGAGCACCCAGTGAATGACATAAATGGAAATAGAGTTGTTGTTTTCTGAATAGTTCAGTGATGAGGGATGCCACTGTTTTTCAGTGCATTTTTTCTTTTGTCATTATGTTTTCTTAACAAGGAGGGAAGTACCAAACTCCTACACATCTGTATGTCATCAATAAGTGGTGAAGTGGTCCTATTTTACGTTGTTTGTAATGTGTTTATCAGGCCCACGAATACAGATAGCAAATTGAATGCAGAAATGGTAATAGAGAATATCACTTGTACTGGAAAAATCGTGTTTGCTTGGTTGTTTAAATGGCAAGAAATATTTGTAACCATAAAAAGAAGTTGTCTGCAACTTTCTGAAAATGGGATGTCAGTGTATTTTTTACTAAATAATCTCCTGTGCATCTTTTCACGTTGGCATGGTCTGCTTCTGTGCTGCAGAGTCTGAGTGTGTGCTGGGGAAGCTAAGAATTTATGCACACCTTGAGGTGAGATTCTCTTTTTATTTATAACTCTGAATGAGAGAACACGGTTTGGGAAGAATCAGGCTTTTCTTTTTGCTTCAGTTCAAGTGATGGGAGCTTATTTAAAAATACTGGTGTGAGTTAGCTGACTGCAGGTCTTACATCAAAGCCGGTGTTCCCCAGAACGGTCAGCGTGAGCTTGGAAGGTATGACTCCATCACAGAGTCTTTATCAGGATCATTTGTGATCTCCAAATTCTTTATCACAATAAATGTAATGTGTTTACCCAGACTGTAAAAGGTTTTCATTAAATGAAATCCATAAAAATAATTATGAAAGGTCTCGCTTTAAATAAACACAAAGAAGTTTTGTTAGTCTGGGTAATATCTAGTTTTTTCTAAACAGGGTACACCTGGGCATCCAGTAACCCACTGGTGCTGCTTTCGCTTTCACAGAGGATGGTATTGCAAGCCATCATTTATATTTGATATTTAGAAGTGACACTGAGAAGTGAGCCCTACCTTGCTTCCTTCTAGGAAAAAAGCCAGCTGCAGGGAAAGAGCAAACCCTGCCTTTGCAAATAAATGATTATTTTTGTTGTCTTGTAATTTTTTCCATAGGCTGTGGTAGGTCCTGACTTGGGGCAGGAGAAAGTTAAATGTTCTGGCAGTGGACTGGCAATTAGTAAAGAGATGTGTGGCAGGGAACGAGGACAAGAGAAAGACTGCTGCAGGTTAAAACCAGACACAGGGTTGAGGGGCAGTTAGAGGAAAGGATGATATAAAATACTAGGTTTTTCCCCCAGAATAATAGGGAAGGAGATAACAGGGTCAAAATAATGTCTGAACACAGCTGCCAGTAACAATCTGTTCAGAGCCACCTTCTGAGTGAACCAAGCAACCAGAAAGTCTATTTGTGGTAAGGCTGCCAACATTGAGTTTTTAGAACTTGAAAAATATTTTGTATTTAATTTTAAGGTGATAACTCCCCTTAAATGGGAAGCATTAGCTGTGATGCTGAAAAATGCCATTTGGGGTTGCTATACTGTTGCTTTAATCTATTTGAAGCTTACAGAAAATCTAGAAAAAATAGCTGATACGTGTGTCAAACAACCACCCATGTGGCATATAAGGTGATTTGAAAGAGTCCTGTGCAATGAATGTGTAGGTATTGTTAAAATCACTGATTCACACGCTAATTCAGCCTGGAGTTACTCTAGGTCTTCCCCTGGGACATAAATTTGTATGTGTATATGAATAGGGAACTTGGTATATGTATGAATAGGGAACCAATATGTATATGTATATGAATAGGGAACTTACTGTAATTCTTAGATCCACTGTCTTCTGCAGCTTTAAATGTAGACAACTGGGAAAATAGGTGCTTATTTAGCAGGAATGTTGATTTTTTAAAAACAAAACAAAACAAAAAAAAAAACCAAAGCAAACAACAACAACAAAAAAACCCACAGACATTAGCAGTGAAAGAAAACCTTACTGGTGTTACTTGTTGCCTGTTTTTATTGGTAAATATTGTGAGGGACTTTCTGTTCTTACTGCACTAGACAAGGCACGAGCCTCAGTGGCACAAGTTCCATTTGTGTTTGGTTTGTGCTAAATTCCCCCAAACAAAGGCTTGTATAGCACAACGAAAATGAGTTCTTCTCTTGATAGCTTCTGTTCCCAAGAGCCACAGAGCCCTGCAGGTGAGCTGCTGAGGATGGCACAATCTTACATCTGTGTTTTGATATGTGGATCCCGCAAAGCCTGTGGGACTTGTACCTGTTTGAGCGACTCTGTCCGTGAGCTGCAGCGTTTTGTTGCTGATTGAAACTCTGCTTTCATTCCACCTCAGCAGCCTTTGGCGTGGCAGCTGGAGAGATAAGAGTTGACTTACCAAAATATGATATTCCTTTCGCTTGATCCTTGATCCCCAGTTTGTGCTTGGAAACGGTCTGATGGTGTTATTGAAAGATAGGGACTTCATCTTAACAGCTTAAGTCCTTTTACGTGAGAGAGGATGACTTTCTCTGTCAAATTGATTAAATAGATAACGCGTGTTGCTTGGTTTATCCTTTTTCCCTCCTCACTTCCTAATTTTTGGGCAGGAGAAGAACAGCATCTACCCTTTCAATAACAGAAAGAAAGGATGTAGTATTTCCTGATGTCGTGTTTTGTGGCTGTGGGCGTGGAGTGGTGCAATTTCCTCATCTGTCTTTGTCAGACTTTAATTTCTTCTAGCCCATAATGTGCACATTCAGACCTCCTGGACAGTGCAGACAGGGTGTCAAAGTGAAGAGCAGAGTTCCATAGGAGGAAGTTGTGTTTCTGTTTTGTCTTCGTGCTGCAGAGATGCAGCTGGATGCTGGTGCTACGGTGTCTCAGGCAAAAGGTGTCTCTTGGAGGAGCTGCAAATATCAGGTTAGAGATGCACCAGTTGTGGAAGTGTGCTCAAAGCAGAGTGACAGCGTTCAGAGAACAGAGGATTGATTGTATCTAAGTATGAATTATGGCTACTAGAAAAGAACTGAGGAAAATAACAACAACCAACCATGTTGTCTGGGCTATAACAAGGGGATGACTTAAAAGAACAGAAAGAATCTGGGAGCAGAAAGGAATGGAATTAAATGGTGAAATGAGAAGCAGGATGCTTCACAGTACAGGACTCTTGAGACAAACTGGAGCATGACAGTTTCCCTGGGTAGCTTGAGAAGCACAGCCCAGCCAAAGTTCAGGCAGTATATTCAGTATGTTGGGAAATGATGGTGTGCAGAGGAAAGGCTGGGATTTACTGTGGGAGTGCATCAGCATGGCAC